TGGATCACTGAAATTAATCATTCCACCTTTGTCACTGTAGCAATGAACCCTAATATAGAAAAAACAGATAAATGTGCAGCATAAACCAAGCAACTTTCAAAATAAGATACCTGTGTGTGAAAGAAAGAGTTACCAGTAATTCAGCTGGAATTATGTTCAGGAATTTATGCCCCAAATCAACTCTGACTGGTGCAAATCATTCTCTTACCCACTGAAACAGTCTAAAAAATTCTGAAGCTGTCTGGAGCTTCGTAGCAAAGCTTTCCCTTGGAACAAATCAGATTTTCTCAAGAGTACTGCCAATTTTTTTTTTCATTTTTCCCCAAAACCCAGCTATTTCCTAATGCTTTTCCCATGAACCAGGAAAAGTATATTACAGAAGATTAAATATTGTAATAGTGATTAATTTCAACATTTTTAAACATACGTTACCCAGTGTCAGAAAACAGAAAATGCTTCAAAAAACAATACAGGAAAAAGGCAAAGGTACAATAGTTGTTTTCCAGATGTAGCTTCCTGTCAGCAGCGAGCTGTGGTTAGGGATTTCCTGAGATAGATCTTGTATAAACACTTTAAGTCTGGGTGGTATTTTTTCTTTACAATGTTTCTTCTCTGAATCTGTCTACTTTTTTCTTTTTCCTGCTATTCCTCCACACGCACTTTTTTTAAAATTTTTGATTTCAAAAGATCTTGTGGCAAATGAATTCAGCAATTGAACTGCACACTGTCTGAAAAACTAATGTTTGATTCCTCAAAGTTTGCCTCTTTAAGATCAGCACATTCTTACCTATTTTGTTTACCTTGAGCTTCTGATCACTGACTCAAAGTTAACTTCTATGACCAGCTATTTTACAGTATTTTCACTAGTTCTCAAAGCCAAGTCTAACATTAGACCACTCCTTGCTGATTGAATTACTCTGGTGAAGACAACTGTCAGCTTTCACAAATAACTGGCTATTAGAATCACAGAATCATAGAATCATTAAGATTGGAAAAGACCTCTAAGATCACTGAGTCCAACCATCAACCCAACACTACCATGCCCACTAAACCATGCCCCTAAGCACCACATCTACACGTCTTTTAAATACTTCCAGGGATGGTGACTCCACCACTTCCCTGGGCAGCCTGTTCCAATGTTTAACCA